CCTAACCCTAACCCTAACCCTAACCCTAACCCTAACCCTAACCCTAACCCTAACCCTAACCCTAACCCTAACCCTAACCCTAACCCTAACCCTAACCCTAACCCTAACCCTAACCCTAACCCTAACCCTTAGGGTTATATAGCCTATAACCATTGAATCTAAGCTCACCGGGAATAAGTTCACCGGGAATAAGCTCACCGGATTTCAATCACCGGGAGTCGTATATAGGCATATAGTACCGATAACTGAGCCTATAATAAAGCTTACTAGGACTTTTAGCCTATAAGGGGGCCTATATTAGAAGATCACCGGGAATAAGCTCACCGGGATTAAGGTCATCGGGATTAGTCTTTTTATATATATATCTTATAATATATAATCTTTTCATATATATCTTGTAATATATAAGCTAGTTTTTGAATATATAATCTTAAAAATGACATTCTTTTAAAATTGTATTTTTTAGTATTCTTTTTAGTATTCTTTTTAGTATCCTTTTTAGTATTCTTTTTAGTATCCTTTTTGGTATCCTTTTTAGTATTCTTTTTAGTATTCTTTTTAGTATTCTTTTTAGTATTTAGAATTTAGATTAGTATCTTAGTATTTAGATTTTTCTTTCAATTAGTATTTCTATTAGTATTTTATTGATATTCTTATTGGTATTTAGATTAGTATTTTAGTATTCTAATTAGTATTTTAATATTCTTCTTAGTATTCTTCCTAATATTCTTCTCAGTGTTTCTATTAGTATTTCTATTAGTATTTCTATTAGTATTTCTATTAGTATTTAGATTTATATTTTAGTATTCAGATGAGTATTTAGATTAATATTCTTCTTAGTATTCTTCTTAGTATTTCTATTAGTATTTAGGTTAGTATTCTAATTAGTATTCTTGTTAGTATTTTGGTATCTACATTTTTCTTCGAATTAGTATTTTAATTAGTATTCGTATTATTATTCTTATTAGTATTTAGATTAATAGTAAATTAATATTAGGTAGTATTCTTATTAGTATTTCAATATTATCAACATTGTGATCATGTGATTCAGTTATCCTATATCACTTTTTGGTAATCACCACCGCTCTCACCATCTATATATTAAAATCTTTTTAAAATTAGTATAAATCGATCAATTTAAAAGATAATTAAAATCTGTTTTCAGAATTCAATAAATTCATTAAAATAAACCCTAGCTTTTTATAAAATATTTATCAATTTCCTATTATATATTGAATTTAAAGTAATGACCAAATTCCCTTATTTCGCGGATCACCACTATCCTGTTTTCGAAAATTACTATAGCTTCCATTCAATCTCTTTAACCCTAAGTTTTAGGGTTAACTGTACAGATCGATCAATATAAGGAATATCGAAAAAGTAAGATCAGATATGAATAATTCAATTGAATCTCTATCGAACCCTTTTTTCAGATTTTCAAAAAGCCCAAAATTAAAGCATAGAGGAATAGTAACCAAATAATGACTTTTTGGAAAGGTCACCACCCCTTTTAGGGTAGTGGTCACCACTGGTGCTGATCACCAAAAAAATCCTTAGAATAATAGTTAGAAAACTCATTCTCAATATGAACTTCGAATTGTGAACGGTGGGTGACCCAAATCTCGTCGCCATCTGCCCCGCTTTCTTCGATATTGAAATATTATCTTCTTGATCCTCCGATACCCTTTCCATTATTTGCCAACCTTCCTGCTTGCTATACGCGCTCCCATATCCTATCCACCGGATGCCAAACCTCGCCGTCGCTCATATATTTTGATACACACCACCTCTTCTCTATCGCAAACCCATAATCAATACCTGCCAGACGTTAAAATATCTTCGAAACCACTCAAAGTCTACCTCAATCCTATTATCAATATCCGCCCATCCTCGTTATCTCTTCCATACCACCGAATTCGACCTCCACTCTTATCAGACCGCCGCCCATACTGCGCGCAATTTGTGATCTATCCCCACGAATCTTTGCTGAGCTATTATTATTATTATCATCAAGAAAATGGATCTCCCGATCTCGATCTGCGAGATTAAAGTTGAGCGGGACTCTGCGGAGCAACTATGCGACAGCAGAATTGCTGAGGAAAACTTGGTTAAAGTTGAGGTGAATCACCACATGGAACTCGATAATAAGAAAGGATACCAAGGAAATATATTGAAGACCTTCAAGCTCTATGAATCATCAGGGGAAAATCTGCGATGGTGGGATGCGGAGTATGGTACTTACGTTCAGTCAGAGGAGTACCATTCTCAGGAACCTATGAGTGGTGGGGCGGCATTCAAAGCCAAACCAGAGAAAAAGCTCGTTACCCTTCTCTTAACTGCAGTTGTGAAAGTATTTTTCTTCTATACTTTCACAACGAGATATAAAGCACTATCTGCAATGATTCGAGGATCCATATTCCGGGAGTTGGTGAATGGCATTGGTGGTGATAGTGTATGCGACAAGTTGATCAAAAGACAATCGACGTTAATACGTTGTTGGTTCCATGAGGGTGCCGAGTATTTCATGAACCATTTGTGGAAGCATGGCACGGATGGATCGAAATTAAGCGCAGCACAGACCACCACATTTTTATCGCGCGCATTCAACAATTCGATTTCTTTTCAAAGTTCCTGGGCTAAAACTCTCATTCAAGTATATATCAAGGCATGGGGAAGCTCGCAGCATTTGGACCAGAAGAAACGTCGGCAGATGATTGATGAAGCACTCCGAAAAGCTCTCGATGAGGCAGGGAATCCAGATCCTTTACTCGTACCTCTTTCTGTCAACTTTGGACACAATAAGCGCGCTTACGGCACATCGAGCTGCAAAGGGGTTATTCTATCGAGGATAGTTACATTTTTATTCGTATCTGGAGAGACATGGGCGCGTGGAGCATTTCTTTGATTTTTATTTGGTATTTGAAAGGATGGATATCGCTTGGTGGGCTTATGAATTTTATTAATATCTGATATTTGAGAGGAGAGATATGATTGGAGGCTTCAATTTTTTTATTCGCGATGAACATCACACTACGCATATCTAGGTACAAGGACCGCAACATTGTTTATTTTTTATTTTTTATTTTTTCTTCATTCGATTTTTAGCAGGCAGGAGGATTTATCGATTTCACATTCATCAAAATATTATTATTATTATTAGCAATATCTCTTCTGTTTCCTCGACACGTTTTCCTTGCAACTAGTCATTCAACCTCTTCTCATAGATAGAATCAATCTCATACATATTTCACTGGCTGGAAGTGTTTACTTTCTAAAATCACATCATCCGTGATTCGAAAATATGAGGAAATATTTCAAATATGATTTCATTTTAAAGTTCGATCGTCATTTGTCGAAAGTCTTGTCATTTGCGTTGTCGGAATGGGACTTGATGACACCAGACCATCGTCAGCTTGGGACTCTATGTCCGATCTATCCATGGATAGAGGTGGGACATTCGAAGCTACACGTTCTCGAAGTTTGACCAATCTATCATTGATATTCATCAGAGACGCTAATCGCCCAACATTTCGTGTGATTTGAATATCAGTCTCCAGCTCTTTGGTTCGTAAATATGCTATATTTGCAACTGGTTTGATCAGCATTAATACCAATATAAAACTTTCAATTACATACCATTATGTTGTTCTACCTCAAGTATTTCCCTCAACTCTCCTTTTGTCTTGGTAACTTCCTCATTCTTCTTCTTCCACGTACGCAACTCCGAACCCTCCTCTTCATATTTCTCGAAAAAACGTCTCCTCGCCAATTGTTCCTTGACCAAAGAATCATTCGCTTCGAATACCCCTTGATTAACTAAGGCTCTAGTGGCATTTTGCCAGCCCTGTTTCGATATACTCCCTGCTCTAGTTTCTAGAGCGACAGGGCCACCCAGAGTACCATTCAATCCACCATGTTCACTATAAGAGCTGGCGAGGATCGAAACAATATGCTCTGCGCAACGGACATCTGATAATCTTGTAATGTTCATGATGGACATATTTCTCAACAAGTATTGGCAATCTCGAAACTTCATCATCATTATTGTTTCAAAGAGGCTTGATGACGTTAGTCAAGTAATAAGATTTCATATCATGTACTCACTATGGAATTACTGGACCACCAGTCTCATGTCTTTCGTGCTGATAAGCTCTCTTTGCCTCTTTTCCAGTATAGCCAACATATACAACTGTCCAAGGTAATGGCCTAGTCCTACTTTCTTCATCATCCGGGACATGATTCAGTCGAGCCCGGATAGATCTGCAGAATTCTCCTATCTGCTCTCTGGCACCCGATGTACTAGCGAATCTACGTGGATGGAGACCTTTCTTCCAGTTACATTTGCCGCTTGTACCCGAAGCCCAGCTTTTGTACTTAAAATGATCAATTTCAAAAGCTAAAGTATCGGCGGATTCCCATTCCAAAGAACCTTCGTACCATCTACCTATGTATTGTTCCATCTCTGATATACAATCCAGAATCTGAATCTTTGTTGCTGCTTGACCAGTCGGAGAACAATGAACCAATGCATAAATGACTGGGCGTTCGGCATCTTGATCCCTACCAACTAAATTCACTTGATGATTTCGTGGTAATCGTGCGTCAGGGTCACCCCAAAGATTATGCAATGAACAGGTTATGGCAGCTCGTAAAACAGTTGGACTCATTGAAAAGATTATATTCAATATCTTCCCCAGCCCAGTAGGTCGATCCATCGAGTTTGAAGGACTCTTATTCCACGATCTTCTTTCATTGATCTCGAAAATCTTCAAGGCCAAGTCCATCAATCCTCTGTCCATTGATTGAAGCATTGTACCAGATAGAACGGGTAAGCCTGATTTGTATAAATCTGAGCCTGGTTCCACAGAGTACAAGTCTGGCCTAAGTACTGGACGTTGGGCAAATGATAGAGTTAACATATGATCCATATTTGAATATATTCTTCTAGATAGCTACAAATTAAAATCATGAATATGTAGGAATCTTTGATGGTATGAAGTGAGTCGTGGAGAATTTGAGCGTTCCCCATACATTTAACCAAACGTTCCTTCCCCTTTTGCCAGAGAAATCTGGGGAACTTTAAAAAAACCTCAATCATGTTATCAAAATCGTGGATGATCATTCATAATCACCATATATCAGTTTTTCTCAATATAAATAGGTATATATTGATGAAATATGGCTGGAATGTTTCGATATGAGAGGAGGAGCGCTCTGGAAGATTGTCAAAAAATTGCAGCAACACGAATTAATATTGCGAATGAATTCATACCAGAGTACCAAGCACTACGAATACCTTCTGATCAATCATTGACCGAAGAAGATTTACAGAGATGGGTGCAAGATTCAAGAGAGAAGCTTACGATGATAGAAGAACAACATCATAATCAATTGTCTGATCTACGGAAGTATGACACCATGAATAAATTATTTATGGAAGCTTCAGCTGCATACAACAACTCGGACGCTGCAATACTGGCAAATTCTACATTGGAACGAATCAATGAAGATACTCTAGATCTGATACATGACGAACTTGAAGAATCATTGAGGGAAATAGTTAGTATTGGAGGTTTACCTCTGGTTCAGCAGATATTACAATCAATCGCGGATTCGACTGAAGCAACACCAAATCTCTCTCCGCCAGCTATCCCTTCTAAGATTGTAGAAGCATGCAGAAATAATTTCGGACCTATCAACAAAATTGAGTGGTCGATTGACGAAGTGGCAAGTTTAATCGAATCAGCTCATGAACGAATCTGTACATTAGAGGATGAAGCACGTGTAAATATCACTTCAACGCGATCTCAGCCACTGATGCAAGACATGGAACGACTTAGGGAGGCACATAGGCAGTCCACGATTATCAGTTCACCTATTCCTCCGAAAAGAAAGGCAATTCAGCAATCAGTTTCATCACATCCAGTCGGATCAGAACGGGAAGCCTCCAAGGGCGAGGATGTCATTGAGCTTGAAAATAAATTGGAAAATCTAAATACCCAATTATCCAACATCTTATCAGAGCATGAAGAACTAGAGTTGATATATTCAAAGGAAACGTCTCAGACATATTATCTAAAATACCAATTGGCATTTAACAGGATTTTCGATATACAAATCACACAGGGAGCAGCAGATGAATATCAATCCGAGATCAAAAAGAGACTGGATGACATCGAATCCGATATTGTGACATTCCACCTCCCTCGATACAATATCATCACATTGGCAGACAATTTCGAACAAATACCACTCAGACCAAAACAACCCCCTTCTATCGAATACCTCTTGTTATTGTCAATGTACTTATCTCAACCAAATGCAGACCAGGAACATGTCAATCAACATATTATTTGGCTATCTACTCACATATCATCAGTGATTAACCTCTTCTCGACCCAAGCAAATAGCATTCTTCTTGTTTACTTGGAAAATGTCATTCGCTTCCATTTGCCAACTGGAATAGCACTGATGGCATTAGAAATGACTGTTGCTAAGTTAGCTTACAGAAGTGATGATGTTAGAGATATGGGACTGTGGTCAATCCTTGAGAACGTGTTGTTATTGTCAATCCCAACCACGTTCAACAAGCTGGATATTGTTAAGAGAGCTTGCTTGTGGTATTTCGTCGCTTCAGGCCAACCTGGCAGTGAACTGGATACTCATTTCTCAAGACATAAGTTATCAAAAGAATGTATCAAGGAGATTCGTGGAAATACTCACTTGAGAGATTTTACGAGTCTTTTATGTATTTCCACAATCGCAAGACACATTCAACACAGCAACAACCATGAACTTTTTACCATCACTTGTGGAGAAGATAAATTGGTCATTGTGAAGACAAAAGCAGGAACGAACGAGTCAGTATCAGAGGAGTATGTGTGGACGAAAGAGAAGGGAGTTGTCACATTGTCTAAGAATGGATTGCGTTTCAAAATGGAGGGAGATACAACGGATATGATAATTTTCGTGCAGGCAGATGGAAATGAATCCGAATTTTGGTTCAAAATTGAGGCTGACAATATTGAACTAGCGGAATACTTTGATAGATACTATTCTGATGCTATAATGAAGTCGGCCGAGACATTTGTGGCGAAATGTGATGAAGAAGCTAAGGATGGAAGAATTATTCGGTGTTGATATTCTGAGAATTTGATGGATTGTAGCTAGAGTACAAGATTAAGTATTTGTTGCATGTTGCTAGAGTTTAAGAGATATCGGAGGTCATTTCTCGTATTTCCGAAAAAAATCCAATAGTTGAAGAAATTCAATCACTTTTGGTTGCTATTGGATTTCCAAGTAGTCGTTGCACTCCAGTACTCATTTGTGTATGGAGACGTGGAAACATGTCATTCTCATTCTTCGATGCTCTCGACGTTCACTTATGTTTTCCAATTAGAAGCCCAAGATATTGAAACGCCTTCTTGCAATCCTAGCACTCAGAAGAAATTGACAATCCCGAAATAGCCATTTGTTCAATTCGAGACGTATGAACTTGATCGTCGGAAGCCATGCGCAGGTCGCTATTCACAAAGCGGCAGAGAATCTCGACATTAAGGTTAAAATCCTACATGTCAATGATGCTAGTGGATATAAGTTCGATTCCTCGCAGCTTGAGCCGGCTCTTGATGAAGGGACAAGTGAGAATTTCCCCTCGGCGCAGAATCTATACTGACTAAATTGTGAAGTTGGTGTTGTTCTTATTTTATGAAATACATATACTGGGGGATTTGATACCATCCTCGAGGTGGCGTCCATGCTGGACAGTTATGAAGGTAGGACAGGCGTGGACACTCCCATTCACGTTGATGCAGCGAGTGGTGGGTTCGTCGCTCCATTTTCTGGCGTATCTCCGTCGAATTGATAAGCCATTATCCATTCGCATATCCAGACCCTGCAAACTTCAGCTTCAACCTAAGGGACCTCACTCTGGACGGAAAAACGGGCACACCGAAAATGCAATATTATTTTCAAAATTCTGTATTTAAATCAATCATCAATATTTTTGTTTTGAATTAAAATAAGTGATTTGAATCTAATAATTTATAATACATCTTCGATTTGTTTATTTTATTTTATTATTCAGAATTGTTATTCAATTTTGAAATAATAGTGTTTTGAAGAAAGTCTCGATTTTGGCGGGTTTGGTGTGCCCGTTTTTCCGTCCAGAGTGAGGGGACTTTCGCATCCCGCGAGTTGTATCAATTAATGCGTCCGGGCACAAGTTCCACATGATTTCAGCTACCGTTGGTTGGATTATTTGGCGCGATCTACAGGATATTCCCGATCGTATGAAGCACAGTTCTGCTTATTTACTTGATACAAGTGAGACTTTTACAATGAGCTACAGCCAGAGCAGTATTGACGTTGTTCTTTAGCACTATTACTTGGCTCGATTGGGCCAGGAGGGATTCAAATATTATATTCAGGCCAGCTTTGAACAGGCTCAATTATAAATCTATAAATATAAGAATACTATACTTATGTAAATGTATAATTATATAATACATAAAGTATATATTTACTTAGTTTAAATGTTACGATTAAGCTATATAGGGCTAAGCAGGCACGTGAGTTGATTCTCCGGATCTACTCGGGCCGACGCCAGCCTATATATAACAATAAAATATAGAGTTTTCGTAGTTAAGAAAGAATAATAAAAACTTAATTCATTGCTATTATCTACTCTATAGAGGTTGACGGCGTAAGTCATATAAGCCTCATTTTTAATAAAAGTTGCTATTTTACGAAACTTCAATACTGCTTTTACTAATTTTACTAGATATTCAGTTATCCCCCTAAAATATTGAATTTTGAACCCCCTTATTCAAATTTTCAACTCTTTTTCAATTTTTATAATTTTCAAGCTATTAAAACTTTCAAAGCTTTTTATAAATTCTAAATAAACTTAGAATAATATTTCTAAAAAGAAAAATATGAATTTCGATAAATTTGAATGATTTTATTAAAGATAGAATAAATTTATAATACTTTTATCATTTGAAGTTTACTATATAAATTTTCAATCAGTATAATGATACGATTACACTCAATTTAATAACGTATTTCCAAAAAAATAAGCGATTTTTTATACCTCATCAATTTTGAAATTTAACTTTAATCACTTCTGGATTTATCAATATATCTTCAAATTGAATAAACTCTTCAGATTAATTAATATTTCAATTAAAGGAATTGATATATAGTTTTATAGATATATTAAAGTAATGATTGTAGAGTTGAAAATGAGTAGAATATAAATTCGATTTTGAGATTGAAAATTAATATATTTCCAAGCTACTTTTGATCGTTTTCAAACTTTTGCTCCGAAATTTCCAATTTGATTAATATCGATTTGAAACAATCGAAAATCATGTAAGTAATACAATTCATTATTCTCTATTATTTGATCAAGTTTTCAATTGAATTGGATTACAATTGGTGAAGGTATTGTAGATTGAAATTGGAAAATCTAACGTTTAGGTGTTTTTGATGAAATACTGAAATTTAAGGTTTTGGAAACACGTTATTAAATTGAGTGTAGTTCAAATAATAAAAATGGGGAAAAGCTTGGTCGCTTTTTGGTGTGTTTTACAATACTTATGCCGTCAACCTCCGTAACCTTAAATTCCACAAATTAGGAGAACGCAGGGTTCAAGCTAGTCTTAAGCCGAGGGTAAAGTAATCATGCTTCTACCCTCGGTCTTACGAGAATGTCGGTTAACTACCAACCCTGTAGGTGTACCTAGGATCGCTTGAATCCCGGTGTGGGTTGTAACAACAAGACTGTAGATTTTATCCACTCAGTGCTGATGCTCGGAGTCTGAGGACTTTAATTTTTACCATAATCAATCTATTCAATGGCTGGCGTTGATTGCTATACCAAGCTGGACTGTCGTGTCCTTGCAGCAACATTCGAACTTTAAGAAATCCGAACACGAGGCACCACAAGTATAAAAGTAAAATAGGAGATGCTTGAAGGATTAAAGTTTTGCCCTCCTGGAATATATATAGCTTCTCATATTCGACTATCTTTTTTTTTCTATATCTAGTTTATACTACACTTCATTCATCTTCAATTTTCATCCACAACTCAATAAGAAACCATAACCTCAGTTCAGTATTCGCAGCATTCGCTCTCAAGCCGGCTTATTTTACTTTGAACTAGTATTGAACATCATCGCTCCACCAAGCCTTTACACAAAGCCAATCAAACGTTGAGCAAAAGCCCCTGCAACTACACTCTTATTCATTGAATTTTCAATCAAGCACACCTACCCTTTGCACTGTCAAAATGAGTCAAAAAATTACTGTCGATTACCTTGTCATTGGTGCGGGTGCTATGGGAATGGCTTTCGTTGATACCCTGTTTACCGATAAGCCTAACGCCACTTTCGCTATTGTCGACCGCTACAGCCGCCCAGGTGGTCACTGGACCAAGGCTTATCCCTTTGTACGCCTCCACCAGCCATCTACGGGTTACGGGGTCAATTCCAGAGCCCTTGGTGAGAACAAGATTGACATGGTTGGCTGGAACAGCGGTTTGGCCGAGCTCGCGACAGGCGACGAGATCTTGGCCTATTACACCCGGGTCCTAACGCAGCAGTTCCTACCATCCAACCGGGTCACCTACTACCCTTTGTGCGAATATACTAGTGACGGCGAGTTTCACTCCACCGTCACCGGGAAGAGGTATTCTGTCGGAAACGAAACTCGGATTGTCGATACCACCTTCTTGCGCCAAAAGGTCCCCTCTATGGGCCCGCCTAGCTATATTGTCGCAGACGATGTGAAACTTGTAACACCGAATGAGCTGGTTCACGTCTCTCGACCATTTGCTAACTACACTGTTGTTGGTGCTGGCAAGACTGCAATTGATGCCTGCCTCTGGATGCTAAGTATGGGCATTGACCCTTCAAAGATTACGTGGATTATGCCACGCGACTCGTGGTTTTATGATCGAAAGTACCTACAGCCCTTGGACTCGCCGCTCCAGATGCCACGTAAGTGGGCTGAATTACAGTTTGAAGCAGTCATGGCCGCTACATCTGTAGATGACATGTTTCAACGGCAAGATGCATCCGGGGCCCTATTGCGCTTGTCTAAGAACGAATGGCCTACCATGTTCCACTGCGCAACTATAACTTTGCCAGAACTTGAGCAGATTAGGAAGATCGAGCATATCGTTCGAATGGGTCGAGTGAAACATATCACCGCGGATCAGGTTACTCTGGAAGGCGGAAAATATACTCCTGTGCTCGATACGCTCTATATCAATTGTACGGTTGACGAGCCCATGGGAAGCGGATCGGCTCCCGTGTTCAACGGCAAACATATCACTCTCCAGCCTCTCCGCGCCTGTCAACAAGTATTTAGTGCCGCCCTTATTGCTCATGTTGAGGCTGAGTACGATAATGACGAAAAGAAGAATTCTCTCTGCGCCCCGGTACCGCACCCTAACAAGCCTATTGACTGGCTTAGAATCAGACTTCAGGAATATGAGAATAAGGTATCATGGGACGCAGACCCAAAGATGGTTACCTGGCTGAGCAAATCCCGCCTTAATTTGTACAGGGACCTTCAACCATCGCTGCCAGAGGATCGCGAGGGGCGGCGGCTCGCATTGCAAGCATTCGAGGAAAGGAGGGCAGCATATTTTAACAAGCTCCGAAAGCTTTATGACGATCATGAAACGGTAAATGTGAAGCTATAATAGTATATCGCTATTAAGAGCGAACTCACTTCGGGGGGTTAAGATTCGGGTGAAGCGTTCAATTTGCATTCTCTTAAAAGAACCTTTTTGGTGTATTAAATTGCAATGGATTTCGCCATTTTTGAAAACTCTCCTCGATTGCATTTGTTCATTTGAAACTCTTTTCTTCTTGTGTGAAAGAGAACTCGGCGGGTGTGTGTACATACCTTCGGTGGTGTATGATAGTGGAAGCAAAGAACTTCGAGCGTCGCTCGCATTGCATAGGTCAAGAACTTGTATAGGAAGGGATCCTTTAACAAACTATCAAAGCCTGCCCGGCTAGCTCAATCGGAGCGTGTACCCTTATTCATCACTATCATTGTAACAACATTATTGTTTCTTATAAGCAATTCCCCAGACTTCGACAGAAATGGAGATGTTTCATTAACGATAGAATTGCCATGCGCAAAAAGTCGCGGGCTTTTAAGGTTTCAGTGTGAGTATGATGATATGTTGCCTCCCCTCCTTTTCCCTCCCTCCCCTACACTCTAGCGTTATAATAAGCGAATTCTAGTATCTTAAATCCCTTCCATTTAGCTAGAAATAAGTGTACAATTCATCTCTCCTTTAATATACTTCCAATTCTTTTTCTTTTGGAGAAGAGATTCAATTGGTGAGTAATATTATGCTTTTTTAGAACATTGTTTAATGAACTAATAGTAGATAATAACCTTCAGATAATCAATTCTACAGCTTTAAATCTGACCTACTTTCGATACAATAGGGGAAAAAATTGGCTACAATTAACTTATCAATCCTTTTTAAGAGTCGATCACTATGTAAGTATAATGATATACTCTCACCCATTGCATTCTTGAGATGTACTGATTATTTCAATATCCTAAGTTGTACTACTAAATTTTTTCAAGCAGTCTGGTGGTCGACTAATTTCATTTATTTACTCCTTATTTTACGAAACTATACATCCTCCAAATAACCCCCCCTCCCAACCTTCCACATCACTCTCTTTGATGTCATCTTTCCATAAAGCTCCCACTCCTACTCCATTTATATTACAGCCCCTCAACCACTCTCCCCCACGATCAAGATCATCACAGTTCAATACCTCAACTCCACTCTCAACCAATATTCTCCACCATTCCTCGTTATCAGGAGTTCCCCAATATCTAGGTATTAACCCTTTTTCTCTCACATCTCTACATTCATTCCTTATGATTTTCACTTGCGCCTTTGTAGGCCCTTTGGATTTTGAAAATCGACCAATTGATTTAGAAATGTGACCAGACACATATAGTGAATTAGATGGATTTTGAGAAGACAGGAAATCGAAAAATCGAGCATCTTTAAAGATATATATGTTTTCATAGCCGCATATCAGTTCGAAGTCGGCATCGCCAGTTCCGACGATGGTTATGGGACCAGGAAATAGCTTTTCGGTGGTCGAGTTATAATAGGTAAGGAAACCTGCAGTTCGAAGAGGTTCAAGAAGGGAATAGAGGATGGGTATTCCATCGTGCCCAGAGGAGATACTTTTATAATCGATTGTTAAATGTAACGATAGCTGTGGATTTTCATTCCAAACTCCCACTTTCTTTTCTGGATTTCCTGCAGCTTTGTTCTGTTGTATCAAAATCTCTAGAAGTGGGTCTAAATAAAGACTCGAGAGTGTTCTTGCAGGATCAAGCTCTGAAGTTGCATGACCTACGAGGAGATCATTTTCGGAGGCTTTAATTTTTGGCGAAGACGTGAAATAGGAGAACAATGAGCCGAGAAAGCGAGAGGAGCTGTAGTAGGAAGGAATGAAACAATCCGCTTCGATTGCTATACAGCCGGCTGCAAGAGCAGTATATAGAGGGATTTTTTGATGTTCGTCGTTGTGAGACCAACAATTAATCGGGATTATTGATGTGGTGAAGTTTGGTTGCCAATAAGCATTAGGGGCGGGGATGGTTCCAGTGGCGATAATCTTTCGAATACCACATTCAGTATGCGACTGATTGTGTGGAAGAGGCGCCATATTTGATTCTTGGTTTGAGTGAAGAGGAAACTATTGGATTGCATGAGCATCAAAAGAAAGATTTCTAAGGCGGAATATAGAAAGGGGTATGTTACCTTTTGATAGATTGATGGATAAATGTGTAATAATTGTTCAAATCTGAATAAATGGATGATTGAAGATTAAACCGGTCGAAATCAATTCGAAAATTGTACAGTTGTCTTGCTCCTCAAAGTACTATCTAGGTATGGATTGGAAATTCTAAACGGAATGAGAAATCGAAATCGAGAACGCAATTTTCATCCATCAAAGTTGTTGAACGGAGAATGAATGGAGAGAACCTTCAATTGAGAAATCTTCTTAACGTCGTAACTCGTACAAAGATTGCCTATCTTGATATTCAATGCCTCGAAAAATGTGAGTAGAACCCAGAAGTGACTTCAGATGTGTGAAATAACTTCTCATCTAAACAAATCATTAACTCTTATATAAATGAATCAACCAGTTGGTTTATAAAGTCGGTCAGTATATGCATTGAAAATTGCCTCAACCTAAGTTATTTATAAACGCAATTTCATTCCCTGTAAAAGGAAACACGAAATAAAGAGTCCAAACATAATAAAAATCTTACACTGGAAATACAGCGCAAAGCACACAATACTTATGGGTACCATGTGGCTTTATTTACACTAGGAAATAATAGGTCCAGTAGTTAATTGGCTTCCGGAAATTCCGTCACTTCCTCGAGACTTCTTCATGTCCACGGAAATCAGGGTCGCATGCGCTAGAAAAAAATAGCGTTCTGGAAAGTTTCTAGGTCAGGGGGAAATTTAGTTTCAGCAGTTCCATTACCACGGTCATGGATTTGAATCCGAGTCCAAATGACAGCCGCTATATACGCAGTCGATAGCGGCAACAGAAGTAAGAACTATCATGCAAGGTACGAAAAATTGTTTATGAAGGAATAGCTGAGCCAGCTCTCTAAGCGGACGACCATTGGTCTCCGGCTTTTTTCATCTTCTTTGGTTTCTTCGTTGGGTCCCACCGAGCCACCCACCATGTATAGCAGCGGTCGATTTCACCGTCTTTTTGTGACCGAAGTTCCGTGCGAATGAAATTTCGTGAATAGTAGAAAAAGTGGAGAATCAAAGTTGTCCAAGAAGGGTGTCTCGGTGGTGTCTTGATTAGAATGGGAGGCAAAAAAAGAAAATATGGGGTATGGGGGATAAGATGCTCGGGAAGATACTTTGGGAAACTTGCGGTATGATAACCACACATCTTCTGCTGAAAAACTCTATTCTTGAGAATAAACACTAAGAAAATTCATCACAAAAAAACCATCAGCTGGAAGCAGGAGAGGCGTTTCTTGCGTGAAAAGACTGGCCATAATTGGATGCACAGAAGATCGTCACTGATACGTATATATTAAGCTATACCCAAACAAAAAATGAAAAAATCCAGTCTGAACGGCAACAACCACTTCGTTCAACATACAAAATTGTTTCAATGAATCCCATATATTCGAATGTGAATCGTAGTCTCAAAATCATCAGTCCCAGGAAATCGTTATGAATAGTGTGGCTCCATTATCATCAAGCCTCGGATATCCTTAATGCAATAGCCGCATTCAACGTCTCCAATTTCACACTACTCCCATCCTCGTCCCTCTCGACTCCCTTCCTAGCTTTAATATTCTTGTAGCCCCATCCATCATGCCTCTCGACAATGTCTATTCCCTTCCCTTCTAATTCTATTCTTCCGGAGATAGTCTTCGCTTCAATGTTGCCGATCCAAGCTAAGGGGTAGTATGCCTCGATACGCCCAGAGGAGCTTTTATGCGTCGAATGAACAGTGCGAAGTTTACTCTTGTACGCCTGGAAAGAGGAGCTCGATGATTCAATGAGGGTGGAAGTGTACGGAGACTCGTGGCTATTCTGTGTGGATCCAATCGCACCATTGAGAACGTTGCCGTTGGTGGAGGGGAAAGTAAACAAAGGATTAAGTAATGTGATATGTGTATTCCCACTCACTGAATGAGTAGAGAATTCATTTCGACTTTCATCGTCGTCATCAGAAGTTGCCAATAAAACCGGTCTCACCATAAGTTGAATCCTACTAGAAGCGGTGTCGAAAGTCCCCGTAGATCCAACAAAAAAATCGCCTTGAATGGCCCCAGAAAGTGATTTTACACGTGTGATGTATTCTCGGAGATAAATGGCCTTTGGATCTTTGACAGGTGACAATACTTCGATTCTACCCGAAGATGTACGGATATCCAAAGTAGCGGGAGCGGGTGCTGACTCAAGAACAGGCTTGGGTTTCACTTCGATTCCTATGGCTCCAGATTGGGAAGATACTTTCAGAAGGTCATAAAGGGGATATGTGCCTTCAATTCTGCCTGACACAGTTTCGACGACAATATGACGAGAATCGAAATTGAAGTGTGTTTCTGGCTCATTTTTAGTTGAGAAGGAAGCATGACTGATTGACGAAATTGAGTCGTTTGGAAACCTAACATGGCCTGATATTGTTTTTAATGTGGCAACTTTGACAATTTTGACATTGACATCGTCAAAGATTCGAATTGATAGAGTTACCAGGTCAAAAAATACTTTGGAGATCTCCGCATCTTCTGGTATCCAAGCCGTAATTTCAAGTGAGATACAAGGGTTTTCATGTATGCCTATGTTGGCAAATCTCGGCGTGCTGATTTTCAATGACCCATCAAGCTCGTTCAAAGTTTTAAGCACAGACAATTCCGGATGGCTAAGTTTAACTTCAACTGTAAAATGTGCTTTTCCTTCGTTTGAATTGCTTGGTAGATTTCGAATGCGAACTTCTCCTGCTGTTTTGACCTCCGGTCCATAATGAGGAGACTCTTGTTGGTAGAACTCTTGTATTACTGAAATTCCAGCTGCATCAGTGATTTCGAATATGGTTTGTTCCGATCTGGACACATATTGACAGTGTGAGCCACCATCGTGGATGGGGTCGGGAAATCTAGGCCCTCCTCCCATGTTTGAATCTGGATTCTTGTATACTAATCAGCTTTAGACTAGATATTATATATAGATGAAATAGAACTACAATTGTAAAGCTGTAAATGAATGTACGTAGCGCGTAAGTTAGTCTCGGTTCGCTGGAAGGTTAAACTTACTGATTTTTCTGTGAAGATCGCACTTAATATAACGGCAACAATGGTTAGAGCTAGTCCCAGTCCAAGAGCTTTTTTTAGAATCTCTCGTCGAAAGGAAATCTTTTTGGGTGTTCGGTCAAGCCAAAGAGGTGTTCTCTCATCGATCTCCGGATTACCTGCCGGTCTTCCCATACTCTGAGGTTCTCTTGGTAGACCTCCTTCGAGGCGATGTTGTGAGAAAGTATTGTAGTGTGTGGGAGTATGCTGTCCTTGTGCCGAGACAGGAGAAGACGCTGCGGAAGCTATATAAGCTGGGGGTGGTTGTTCAAAGAAGGGTTGATGTTCAGGGAAGGAATTCACTCCTCTGTGATATAACGAAGCATGAAGGGAATTAGACGAAATTTGAGAATGTCGGGGATGTTGAGTTGCATGAGATGACGCATTGGGGTACGACGACATCTGCAGAGTTGAAGAAATATTATCGTCTCTCGGAAAATTTCCCTTGGCGTCTTGAGGTTTTGATTTATCCTCTTGTGAGAGCGTGGGATCCGGTATCATATTTTGAGGAATTTGATTCGAATTGAAATAACCGTCGGTTGGACTGAGCTCATCACTATCATCTTCGTTCCAATTGTTTCCCGGATTATTTTCCGAATTGAATGGATCATCGGAGTAAGGCATTGCGGCCGCGAATGATCAACGCCAATGTTAAAGATGGGAATGAAAATTCGTCAGAGAAGACTCGACTAAACTGATCAAATTCACTTGAATGTATGCGATAGCTGGCGTAAGCGCAAATAAAAAGAGATGGGAAATCAAAGAGATGCAACGTGTGTCGTCGTAGTCAAGTGCGTAAGCAAGATAAAAAACATGACTTTCAATATCATCCAAGATTCATTTGATTGTAGAATGAGCCTTAACGCGTAAGGACCGTAGGCAACAGTCAAAGGTCGATAATTATGTGCATGATTCCAAGCAAATATGTACCCAATGATGAATGCAAATTGTCTGGTGATACGCGTCAAATTGGATGAACAATTTATTCCAAAGAGGATTAGATGGCAATTGGATAGCCATGAGTTAAGTGATGCAATCTTGCAGAGCTTTTTCGGATAGATGATGAAATCTTGATATCAAATTGATAAGACATGATAGACAAAAAGTATATCTCGAAAAGGAAGGTAGCCACCAAGTGGGTAGTCTAGCGTGTGCATTGACCCTCGAGGCGTTCGGTCACATGATTTTTAATAGCTCCGCTAGGAGGGTCTAATCGGCTATTTTCTAAATCGCACTTGGTTGGTGTAAATATCAACCCTTTTTCAATAGTTTATTACAATAATCAATCATTCAATCTTATAATGATAAATTAAAAATATTATAAAACAAAACTTTGATTGATTGTCTATTTGATATAAGTTCTTTTGTTTCGAAATTCCAATTATTGCTAGTATAAATATAGTTGAAAAAGGTCGAGTTGTTTATGCAAATCGCGAATCTCGTTAATAAATTTAATACTTTATAAAATCTAATTTTTATATTCATAATTGAATTTTTATTTAAATTTTAATCTAATAATTTTGAAATTAAAATATTGTATAGCTTTTATATATAATATATTTCAATCTAGTTTTCAGAAAAATCTAAAGAATATTGAAAGATGTATAAATTATGAACTAAATAAAATTATAAGATCAAACTTATATTAGTAATGATTAGAACTAGAGATAAACTAAAGGATTAAAAAAAATCGAATTTAAATCTTCTCACTTATAAAATCTTAAATCACTTATTAGATTATGTATAGCTATATTGGTTGTGAAATTAATATATATATTATAATTTTATAAGATTTAAAATAAATTATTTAAAAAACAGTCGATTAGACTTTCTAGGAGGACTTTGTGTATATCAGCTAATCAAAAGAGCGAAAGGTCCAGAAGTAGGTCGATGTATACACTAGACTACTAAGTGGGAACATGACTCAGCAATTATTGTTGGCATACAATTATCTGCTTTACACCACGAAAGATGCCAATGCCCAGTTCACGACAAATCTTTCGACAGATCACAAAGATATTTCTTCCAAAGTTTTACTTAGAGTTTGACCCCTATATGTAGTAGGTATCTAACACGAAGTCGTGTCGACGCATATCCTTCGAGCCATGCAAAGTTTAAGAACATGTTCGAGGTTACTACTAGGTGGTTAAGGTACTGCACTTTTCGTGGGGTTCTCCAAATCAATTATGCCATCACGACCTACACTAGGAACAGTGGGAAGAAGAAACAGATCGAGTAGTGACCTCTGTCGTTTTACGAACATTCGATGGAGAGAGGGTTTATGGTTAGGAATAAATTCGTTCGAAGGATGTTGTTGGTTTGGTGGCGATTGATCTAGGTTGTGATAGTGTCCACCTTTTACTCTGTGGGGAATTTCACATATCAAAGACAAACTGTGCAAGACCACATTTGTTCTAGCCCTATGGCGTCTGGTGAAATGACAGCCGCTTTTAATGGCTAATGAATAGCTTTATATTGACTTCCCTTCCGTCGTTCGCTTTCGCGATCATCAAACGGTCGCATAATTCAGCAAGCGTTTTTCGGTCACTTGACTCTGAAGAGCAAATTCCTCAACATCCGTCTAAGTTATTCATTATATCACCCGGCTTCTTTTACGTCAGGTTCGTACCTCTTCCTATCATATACGCTCGTTATGACAAACAGATAAAATGCAAGGTTATCAAATTTCTTCTGCTACAAATGTACCTTAGTGCTGACAAGGCTGTTGTGGTCAATTTACTTATCGTGGCAATACCCGAGACCGGGTGTAACATTGGGTTACTGCACTGCTCTACACACATCAATTATATCGGTTCTACCCCATCCTTTGGTATCGCAAGCCGATATTGTACTTCACACGGGTCTTGGGCTTACATAAAAATTCCAAAATAGATTGCCACGACATCTACAGAGCCTTGAAGTGTGGATAAGCTTAATCATTGTATTCAAAGTGGGATACTTGCCCCTTGTCGCTGACCAACAACGGGGGGGCATAGACCATAGTGCCAATCACATAAGAGATTTCGTTCCTCACGCCGCACAGAGTTAATTACGCTTAATGAAGCCATATGCAAGATTAATCCTCTTCAAAACACAGCCCTGCATTGTCAGCCGCAGAATACATCTCCACTCTTATTTTGTAACAATGAACTTTATATATCAGCTCTACATATCAATCGACAAAGGTCGTAAGGTAGCGACGGTCCTTGCTGTTTTTTTTTTTTGATTACTTTCGCTATAGCATCATGCGGGCTTTTCAGTGTGTTAAGGTGTTACTTTTCCTTTATTTCAGTTTGAATGTGAATGCTAGTCCTACACTTGGAATGACACAGACCCTAAGCGCTAGAAACTCGGCTTCAACTGCGTGCGGTGATATCGTCAATAACGAAGGTATGAATGAAGAGTGCAAGATCCTTGATTGTTGTACTGATGGAATAACAGATACCGTTTTATTCAATGCAACTTTGGCGTTTGAGTGCCTCACCAGTGTGCCATTCAATCCTGCTGTCGCCTCTCGTTTTATCTCATACTATAATGATACTCTTCAATTCCAGAGTACATTGAAATATCTCAAAAGCCCGCCTCCAAGCTATCAACAACCAGCTGTGGATCTCATAGCAGGCCTGAATCGAATTCAAACCGCGATCGACGAAGGAATATTTTCAAATCAATACGAGTTTGAGGCTGCTTTACAGACTCTAGTATACGCCGCCCACGATGGGCATGTCGACATACTAGCGGGAGCTTTATCTGCGTTTAGTTTTGCAAGTCCAAGGGACTTAGTATCACTATCATTAGATGGCCAACAAATCCCAAAGGTCTATCTAGCCGACGATCTATTTGACAGTGACTATTTTACAACTTTCCAGCCTTCAGCCATCAAATCAATTAATGGCAGAGATGCAACTACATATCTTTTGGATTTCGCATCCGTAAACTCAGTTGGCACTCTTGAAGATCATTCGGATTGGAATCAATTGATGCTTAGCGCAGCTCAAGATATCCAAGGGTATTTCAATTCTTTCAGTGGCGGCGCGACATTCTATCCCGGTGATAACATTACTTTCCTTTTGGAGAATGGGACGTCTTGGACTGAGAATTACCTCGCTATCTACGATACTCCTGGTCCCACCGGCCCTCTTCAAACTGGGGGAGACTTTTATAACTTTTTCGTTTTAGGGTTCTATCCTGCATCATATGATCCGTACACCGATGATTCGAATAACGATTCGGAAGATAGTTTTAGTGATGATTCATCTACTGCAGTCACTTCGACGATATCCGCTACTCCAACTCCGACAGGGTGGGATAGTCCAGCTTACCCAGAGATTCCTGACGTTGCACAAGAAGACCTTGGAACTTATGGGGATGGAGTTGTTTCCGGTATGTTATTGGAAAATTTTGCAATACATTATTATATGAATGACTTGACTATACGGTTTCTAATAGACAAACAGGATACTTTCTCAACTCTACTTCTGTTTCTGTTTTAAGCATTCCAAGCTTTGATGTCGATGGAGATGCTGTCTTTAGTTTCCAACAAACGATTTCTCGGTTCATTAATCAAACACAGGCAGCCGGCCTAACGAAGGTTGTTATTGATCTTCAACAGAATTATGGCGGACAATCTTTACTTGCAATCGATACATTCAAACAATTCTTCCCGAATATCGATCCCTTTGCCGGATCCCGTATGCGAGCCCATGCTTCTGCCGATGTTCTTGGCAAGACTCTGACTCCATACTGGGATGATCTAGCCGAAAACGATGAGACAAAGTATGTCTTAGCGGCTGATGAATGGGTTATCACTAATCGGATTAATGCGGATACGAATCGCAACTTCACAAATTGGCAGGAGTTTTTCGGACCCAATCAATACAATGGTGATAACTTCACGAACATTGTAGGTTTTCTTCATTCTCGTTTAATAATACTTGATATCTTGGGTTCGCATCTAATTAATATCAATAGGCACGATACAATCTGTCTAATCCTATCTTCGACGCATCTGGTGCTGGTCTAGATGTCAGCGACGACGCTTTTTCAGTGTACGGCTATGATGCAAATCCGGCACCATCAGGGGCTAAGCCACCATTTGCAGCAGAGGATATAATCATTGTAAGTCACCTTTCTGCATCACTTGGTTTCGTACTCTAATAGCAATAGCTATCTGACGGTATATGTCACTCTTCTTGTGCTCTTTTGATTGAGATGTTTCGCCACGAAGCTGGAGTTCGAGTTGTTGTAGTAGGAGGCACACCAACAACAGGACCAATGCAGGCTCCTGCTGGATCTCGTGGTGCACGTGACTACGACACTTTTACTCTTGACGCCAATATCGATTTCACTCAGAAACTTTTGCAAAACCAAAGCTCAATCGATGCAACGTTTCTTCCGAATAGAACTGAACAACTCAGCGTGTTTGTCTACTTTGCGGATATAAACCTACGTGATCAAGTACGTAAAGATGAAGAGATTCCATTACAATTCGCCTACGAAGCCGCAGATTGTAGGATTTACTATACACCACAAACTGTGTATAATTACACAAATCTCTGGCAATATGCAGCCGACGCCATCTGGAAGAACTCTAGTTTATGCGTTCAGGATTCAACTGGGTATTCATCAACGTCACAAAATTCAACGAACTTTGTCGGCCCATCAGATGGTACCGGAAAGACCTCTACCAATATCACCGATTACCTTGCTTCGTTAACGACCTCTCCCATTGCAAACTTCATTCTCCAGGGTCTCAATGACGGTCTGCCAGCCATCAACGAAGGTGCATCTCGCAATGCTCCCGCATCTGCCAAAGTTATCAAATGTACCACAGATGACGACTGCTTAAATGGTAAGCTCTGCGTGAGTATTCCGTCTTGTTCTGGGGGTAAAGCTGTTTCTCAGTGCTTGAGAAAATGTCCGGCAGCTGGTCGTCTATGCCCTAGTACCAAGACCAAATGCACACCGCATAGCACAGATGGAAAACTGGGAAATCAAAAGCTTCACAAGAACATCTGTCCTCCAGCAGGAAGTGCAGCAAAGTGTGAGAGTCAAAGCCAGTTGAAATCGGTTAATCTCAATCAATGTCCTGACTGTAGCAAATAATTGGATTAATGATGGAAATAATGATGGCTAGAAATCGGCATTGAGGAGTTTATGGTGGAATAATTTAGGTTTCTTGGCCTCTCAACTTGGGGTTTGTATTTATGGTATATTGCTTGTTTCAAGCGGCGTTTTTCAGAAGTTTATTCTGAGTGGAGTGCCACGGAAAATATTGATTGTATGTAACTAGAATCATTTCGAATTATGAGTTCCACTGTGATCTCCAAGGCAAGCAGATCTTGTCAGATATCACGAGGATGAAGTCAGTCATGTTTTACCCTGTCGTTAATTATAATTAGAATTTCATTTCTTGGCTGTGGGGCACATGGTTGATAATATCCCATTTTTCTGCATGTCAGCAAGCGCCCCCATTTTGGATGCATCCTCTGGCTTCTAGACCGCTTAGTGCATCAGATCCTTTATAGTTTTGTCACCAGCTTTTATTCATATAAACTATCTCCCAATCTATCCCTCTGATCACATCCTTGATTAATCCCACACACCTTCCTCATTTTTCTCACGATCGCCTTACTACGCAATGCCATCTACTGACGGCAAAATATACCCTTCTATTCTCCCTTCCCCCTTTATCCGTCTTTTAACTCTGGATTCTGGTTCTGAGGAACCAGTTAGAGTAACACTACATGAAGTAAATCTCGAGAACGCACCCGCATACGATTGTCTCTCATACACTTGGTCTGACCCACTATACCATGCTCTCAGTCCGGAAGAAGAAATCCACCGTAGCAATGATAAACGCGAACATTCCATCCTCTGCAATGGTCAGAACCTGTTAATTACGGAAAGCTTATTATTGGCACTGAAGGAATTCAGTAAGGACAATAGTGAAGATAACAGCAAGAATGGGAAAGAAGAGAATTTTAAGAGAGAGAAATTCATGTGGATAGACGGCATATGCATTAATCAAGACAGCATCGAGGAGAGGAATATACAAGTTGGAATGATGGGAGAAATCTACACAAAATGCTCGCAGGTAGTTATCTGGCTTGGAGTTTCAGATTTCCATTCGCCGTATGCTATTGAAGTCATAAATCTTCTCTCGAAAATACCCTCGGAAAAGTATACTGGCTTACGTATTACTGATCTTGAGGATTGGGATATATATCCAAAGTTGGGTATCGAAGAAGTTGAAACTTGGAAATGGTTGGAATATGCAGCATTTTTACAACGTACTTGGTTCAGTCGCATATGGGTTGTTCAAGAAGCATTTCTGCCAAGAAATATTGTTGTGGTTTGTGGGAGTGATGTTATTGGATGGGAAAACATAACAGCTTGTGCGAAAGTACTAAGAGAAACAGGATTGGGAACGTTATTGATGGAGTTGTTGATTGAAACTGTGGACGATATTGAAGGGACTGTTTATGTGAACAATACTTTGAACAACCAGTCAATCTTCCAAAGTATGAGGGATATGGCTAGACTTGGATCTGAAGAAATGGGGAAAGTCTTAAATTTGGAAAAGTTGTTGTATTATTCAAGATTTTTCGATGCAACAAATCCAAAAGATAAAATCTATGCAATCAGAGGCATTTGGGAAAAAGGAGGAAAAACGATACCACTGGACATGACCCCCGATTATCAACGAGATCCAACAGTAGCAAGCGTGTATACGAGAGCAGCGCTTGAAGTGATTTTTGAAACCAAAGATTTGAACATTCTTTCTTTAGTGGAAGACTACAGCTTGACAACTCAAAATCCCAGCTCGGTCCGGGCCATTGGAAATCTTCCTTCTTGGGTACCCGATTTCAACTCGTCGTCTAATCCTCAACCTTTGGCTGGAAACCCTAGACCACAACCGGGAAGTGAGAGATGGAATGCAGCTCGAGGAATTCCATTTGAAGTGCCAGTTCTTCTACCTTTAGAATCACGTCATCTTCTTCCAATCACAGGCTATAGAGTTGATATTATCTCCGAGTGCGCAGCTAATCAAGCAGAAATCATGGGTAACGATTTCGGATTTGACACCGTGCTGGAACTCTTGGCAAATTATCCAAGTTCAAAATATCCTCATGTTGACGATGAGACGGAGACATATTTCGAAGGATTCTGGCGCACCCTCATCAAAGATACATTCCAACGGTTACCGGCAAAAGAGAATGCACGTAACGCTTTCCGATATTTTATCACAGTACGTGTATCTGAGCTGAGAATTGCTTACAACTACGCACTTTCAAGGCAGACCCCCGACCTACCCAAGCTACAAAAAGCATACGAAAAAATCAAACAACTGATCAACGACTTGTCCAAACATAGACTAAACAGATCTCTGATTCCCACCTGGGAGGATCTTGAGAAACTCATCAAGATAGCAGCCAATGAAGATTTCACTGATCCAGATAAGGCGAAGCTTGACAAAGATTACGGGGATTTTTACGAGTCTTTCAGGATTGCGTATGCGGGAAGAAAAATGTTCAGGACGGAAAAGGGATATTGGGGTATTGCTGCGCAAACATTGGATATCGACAGTGGGGGCGAAATTTGGGTCATAGCTGGGTCAAAGGTACCGATGGTTTTGAGACCAGTGAAGGGAAGTAATGGTGAAAATCGAGAATTAATCGGAGAGGCTTACGTGCATGGTATCATGAATGGTGAGGCGTTGAAATACTCGGGAGAGAGGTTAAAGAGTTTCTTTTTGGAATAAGAGAGAAACAAATGCTTTAATTGCGGATCGAGAGACAGTTCATAATACACTTCTGTGCAGAACCTTGTCAGCTCAACGTCTAAGATTTCTCATTAGGATCATATGGAGATATAACAGCCAGATTATTGTCATTGTATTCTGCCAACACACATTCTTGCCGAATTGGTGCCTTTGATCAGCAATAACTCGGATCCGGTTTTGTCAGTTAAGTATCTCACAACGGGGTGAGTGGATGAACGGAATCACATTCTGATACACTAAACCTCAGTCAATGTGTGAAGATGTTTTTAGTCATGTTCATTCACCAAATCAGCTTAAAAAGAATGGTCACTTTGCTCAGAACATTACTAATGATACTCCCTGAAACTAAACAAGATTGCAAGTGTCACTCCTCATACTTCTGATGCATTCAGCTATCGATCAAATATCATGATCGCAAGCTGAGGTACAAAATCATACTCAATCTAATTTCTTGTTTTGCGAGCTTTGTAGCACTCAGATCAAAATGGAACAGATTACTTATATTCATCAACAAGCCCTAGCCCCGGCCCAGACGTATGTAATGAGCTGTATCTGATCTCAATATATCACTCTTCATTCCTAGTAATTATAATATCATAAAAAAATCTCTATACATTATATCAGTTAGTTAAATAGCTAGAATGTTAGTTCGTTTCAAGCGAATCGACTTTTTCGTATATATACATAGTACTGTAGTCCTTACGAATAGTAAGATTATCAAGAAGATAAATCTCAAACTATATTTTTAATATGAATTTATATATTACTAAAATTAGTATTCTTTTATATATAATTTGTCTTCTAATAATTATTTTTCTCTTATAAAAAGCATTCTTTTTAAAAAATTGATTTTCTCGAGGTTTATCTCATTAGTATTCTCATATGTTTCTCCGAATCTGGAATATCGAGTGAAGTCAATAACAAACTCTTGACTTCCACTTCTGTGAGGTCTGCATTTCTTAAGATATAGAAGGACACCCTTAGAACCTGTTATATAGAACACCTACCGGTATACACGTAATGACTACTACTCTGCTATCCACCCTCGCTGCAATTTTTTCAATTGCATAAAATTAACAACTAGTCACTCTTAATTGAAGAGTATATATTTGAGGTCAAATTACGAAGATACATCAAAGCTCATAGTTTGCTATAATACTCCAACGCTTTCAGTACACATAAAACATTATCCAAGTTCTAAGATCTTATATCGCACGATTTCCGATCACATTTTCCCCAGACAAACCATGCATTCATGATTGAATCATCAATCTTATATTTAGGAATCCTTACACTGTGCAGATCATCACAGTCCTCATAATCCTCTTCGTGCATTAACAATTGGGATTGTCTGATTGGAAGGAAAACTGTATGTTCCTCGTGTTGGAAAACTGCCAGAAATTGACCATCTGACACGATTGCTCGTCGGGCGATATACCAAGTTCTTGCAGATCCGAGCTAGGCAGGCAGTCCAAGTGTGTGGCATGCCACCCCCAATGCTAACTAGAGTCTTTGGTGGTTCAACATAAATCTCACCACTAAGCTCAACGATTGCGACTCCATTTAGCACGAGGATATTCTCGACAACATATCGTCGACTTTTTGCATCTGTGGCTACCTTCATATGAAAATGCCTCGGAATCCGAGTATTTATATCGAAACGTAAGCACCCAAACGTTCCGTTCATTGCCGGCATACTGATATCTTCACTGTGGCCGAGATAGAAGATTTGAAGCTGACCGAGGATATTCGTCTCGGCTGGAAAGGCATTCTTGATTATCGAACCTACTCCATGGACGATTCAAGTGCTGTTAGAAAGTTGAAACCCAAGGTCATGTTCTGTGGACATTCTTGACGCTTGATGCTTGTAATTAGCTTGAATGTTGAATTTGCTAAGTTTTGCAATACAAATCCACGAGGTGGGTAGAATTCTGCAATATAAAAAGGAACAGAGAGTAAGTGAAATCCTGTAGGTCCGCCAAAAATAAAGTGGAGGAGAGTATACACCTAGTAAAAGCAAAGTTACACTAATAGTATTCACACGATAATTCCTCAAATTTACTGGGACTCACCAAAGCTTGATTAGAACCAGCAAGAGACATTATGCTACTAGAAATTCAAAAGGTGATATCGGATTTAATGTGGACCACATTGTCTCACTCCGATTTCCTTGTGTTGAATGTTACAGCAATGTTTGACGCAAAAATTTGGGAGATAGATTGAAACACGCTTGATCATTGCAACTTTGTCACTAGACTCGCAGTCATCTCAAGATTCTAAGGATATATTGGAAAACGAAGCGCGCAGCTTTTAATGTTCCTAGGTCTCTCTTGCTGCCATAGATCACCGGATAGGGTCCCTCGCTTATTTCAACCGTGGATGGAAGCAGAGTGCGTAGTAAATCATTATTCAGATTGACAGATAGCATAAAGTTTACAGTTCATGCGAAAAACAATGCAGTATCCATTGTTTTGTGATTTCTGGAATGTATTGCTTGGGTGGGTGCTTCTTAATATTCTATTCTCATATCTAAAAGTCAATTTTTGAACCCTGGGGGCTCATCAATCTCGGTCTGACCTAGAAGCTACAAGTGCAGAGTATCCTGAAAAGGGCTCTTTTTCCTGCAATATCATCATCAATTCATCACGCAGAGACACGAGAGTCGTTTGTTCTTTTGCCTCCCATCCAAGCTTCCTCAATCGATTAGCTCGGTTCAAGGAATTAGAGCCAACAACTACGGATGAATAGGGCCCAAATAGGTCGTTGTACAATTCCAAAGGTATAGTTTTGGTCTCAGGAATCTTGATTTTTCCCTCTTCGTACAAGATCTTACCGATCTCTGAAGCACATTCCCTCCATGACAAGTCTTCTCCATTACTGCAAAAATAGTAAGGGTTCTTGACTTCCAAGTCACTAGTCTCAAGCGAATACAACAATGTCACATAACCCCTTGCTAAATCGCGAACATGTATGTGTGACCACCTTGATAAACCTTCCCCAATATGTCCGGCATAGCCATGCTTTATCGCAAATCGAGCTAAAGTAGGTAACTGAATCGATAACCGCTTCTCCAGAGAGCTAATTCCGTAAATGAGGGGAGGGATCATGATGGCTAGTTTCGCTTTTGGGCCGAGACTCTCATTGGCGTTGACAATGGCCAGATCAATTTTTCGATGTGGTGCCTCGTCAGATTTTGCGTCAATCTTTTCCGGTTTATCATCCTCGTAGAAAACTCCGGTTGGAAACGAGCCTTTCGAATCATCTGCAAGAAAACTCGCTCCGCTTGTGTGGATAAAAATCGCATTTTGGCCAGTTTGCAAACGTTGAGTGATGCCTTCGATGACGGCTTCTACTGAGACAACATCGTCTGCAGTCGCAGTATGAATAGTGATATCACTCAAGCAAGCTTGCCTTGTAATAATTTCCGAGTCGCTAAGAGACCCTTTGACCGTCTTGACGCCAAGTTTGTCGAGTTTCTCGGCAGCAGCTTGTCTGCGAACGAGTACCGTAATTTCATAGCGGCTCTCCTCGAGCAAAAGATCCAGTATTTCGCCGCCGATGAATCCAGGACCAATGAGGAAGACTTGCTTTTGGATGGACATAGTGATGTGTTAAAAGGTAGGATGCAGCTGCCGTGCTATTTCAAGGAAGAAACAAAACAGTATGGTGTATGGCGATGTATGAGACGGTCTTTAAACTTATAAAGGTGTTGAGAACGATTGATACTTAAATATGCTATAATGCTAAGAAAATGACGAATCAAGGTCTTGGAGGTTAGTATTTATATTATAATATTAGTGGGAAATTTAGTCACTTTAGGCTTAGAGATAAATCGAATACATGATACAATGGTAGGGTTGAAGTCAAATAGGAAAAGGATTCGACTTGAATCTAATTTGCTTGCTTTTTCTAGGGTTTCTTTAGAAAAACATCCTAGGTTTGTGATGAAACTCTAGAAAGTTTTACACCTACAATTAAGATTGATTTGAAATCGATTCTAACAGAAAGTACAATCAATCAAATTGAATCGATTTATCAATAAACTTTGACATGGTTATTTCTAATCGTTCCGTTCTATTTCATTATAAATCATTGTGATGACCGTTAACCTAGTTTACGGAGTATGAGTTTAACCCGATTTCCGCAATCTTCTCCACTTCGAGCTAGATGAAAGTCGATAATATTTTAAGTGCGTACAAACGGCCCAAATCCTAATAATTTGATTTGTTCCATGAGGATACATGTGATCTTAGTAATCATAGTCTTTAGGAGATTCTTATGAAAAGGTTTTTAACTGTGATCTTTAAACACATTGAAAGATATTCGAGTTTTGCAATGCCACTGCCTGCTTTTTTTTTTACTCTGAGATTTTGAGAGCCCACAAAACTCAGTCTGAAAAAAATGCCTCACATTTCGATGTACGTTCTTGATCCTTATTTCAACGATACACTCCTGATTTCACGTCCCCATTCCAAAGCTTCTCCATGCATAACTCCATGTAGATATGCCTCTCCAACTAGTTCATAGAATTCATCTTCACCTCGTCGAAGAATGAAAGGAACTGAAGCCCCCGCTAAAACCCAAACTTCGTCAGACGGACGTAAAGATTGTGCTCCGATGCCAAGATAACCTTTGCGAGTTCGAAATAAAGTCCGGGCATCATTTGCAGCTTCTATTTCTTTCTCAAGATATGAGAACTCCTCTTTGCCATACTTGCGCGGTTGGTTCTCAGTAAGGTTGAGTCTTTGCATGGAACATGTTGCCTGAGATTCATTGCGTACTCCGTTGCGGACCCATTCCTGATAGTGTACTACGAGTTCCTCGCATTGTTGCGGTGCTGGATGTTCCCTTCGATATGTATCTGCTAGAATAGTGCGCCATACAACTTCACGTGAAGATTGAAATCTGTTGATTGAGAGGTCAGTGGGTTCATTGAGAAACCAAAGAAATTCGAGAAACTTACTTGCCACCCATTGAAAGTGGGTATACAGGGTCGAGATGAGCTGCAATCTCATATACTCCATCTAAGAATTCCATAGGATGCAAGCACTTGTTCTGTTTTTTGACCTTTTCACAGACTGTGTCAAGCAGCATGCCTTGCAATATCAAGGAATTAGGCTCAGTCTCTAAGAATTCTTGTTTCCACTCCAAATTACCACAGGCACTCCAAGTACAGTCGCCGCGCATTGACAGAGGTAAAGGCCTTCGTAGGACACTATAATCTGGAACCCACGTCGGTAGATTAGGAATAGATGCTATCGAATCCTGGACATCTGATAAGATTCCTAAGCCATAGCATTGGAGCAAGATTCTAGCCACATTAGTGTAGATATCTTGTGCCGCCATCTCATAATCAACTGAAAGGACATCTGGGAACTTTGTGAATGGTAGAGTGTCCTTTCTTGATAAACCGAGTAGCGCGTAAATGATATCTCGTTTATCAGAAGCCTCACAATATCGATGCGCGCGAAGAAGATATCGAAATAAAGGAAGAATCCGGGTAGATTCACTCCCTGCTCGAGTGGACTCAAGTTGTATAACTGCCATCTTGAAGCCTATCTCTGAATTCAATAGTATTTGATGCCTTTTGAGTCGCCTACCCTTCAAAGCATTTCTGGGAAACTTGATTAAACGATTGGTGTGAAGTTCCTTATACCATTCAGTATGGGCTAAGAACGACAATGCCTTCGAAATTGTTTCCCAAGGAATGATTTCCTTGCCGCAAGCAACGATTACATCATTTCCTATTGTGACTTCTTGTACAGCCCAGACACCTGAGAACCAAGGTCTATTAAAGAAAGCTATGAGACTGAGCCATGATCGTAATTGCAAAGGTACAATGTTGAGCCTATGGAAGTATTGTTCCTGACAATCCCAATCCAAGCTCACTAAATTTGACCACTCATCATGTGGCACCAAAGATAGTGTTTTTAGGGCTTTCACTGCATCAGAAGTAAAAGCGTCCTTCTTTCCAAGTCCAATAATGACGTTCCGAGCCTTTTTGAGAATTTTCGGCATCATTGAAATTTGGGCAGTTCGGTCCATGGGATCCTCTGGGTTAATGCACACCGAATCGATCCAAATATATCGTGTCTTCATCTTCCCGGAAGTTTTTGAGGCAACTTTCCTTCCGGTATTGATGGAATTCTTTGCATCCCCACAGATTCTCAATGTCTTGTCATCACATAGTATAATGTTATTTCGTGGAACGAGATCTCGCCGCGAGTGGGATACAACATCAAATGTCGGTGCCTCGGTAAGTTCCACTACATGGAAAGAGTATTTGGTACGACACCATAGCTTTGATGTTATCTCAAGAAGTCGAATAGACGTGGGTGACGGAAGGATAGTGTAGACAAATGGTTTGTCAGTCGCACAGTTGCGTTTTGGAAATCCTATGAAGTCCATGTCTCCCAAGTCCTGTCAAGGGGGCATGGGGTAAGGTCAATTTCTTTGACAGGTTGATATAGAATGCAAACATTTAGAAGCAAGAGGTGGATCGAGCTTGTGAATGCATGTCGGAACTTATGCCAAAGGAAGGAGCAAACTCAGATTTCTTGATTCCGTAAACACTGAAGGAAGGAGCATTATCAGCCGGATCAACCATACTCCGAACACTTTTTTTCCCCCTGTGTTGAACGATGCAAGCCTGGTGTGGTAATATTTGGGGTGATCTTTATGGCATTCGTTTTGTTCTGGGAGGAAAAAGAAATCACAAGCAACGAGCCTATCTGCAAAAGCTAGTTATTAAAATTCAGACAAATGAGACTCATCAAGATCTGGACAATCTGAACAATCTTTAAGG